CAGGGTGTGCGCATTCATGTGTGAATATACACACACTCATAACATCTCAAAGCCAGATCCAATCCAGTGACACAGAGTTTACTCAGGTGTTGTGCCTTTCCATGTTTGGAACTCTTGTCTCCAAAGGAGAAACCTGGCTCCCGACGTCGTTGTTAGTGAACTGGTGGATAACTCCCCCTGAATGTCACCAGAGTCCCTTAGTGATGCCCACCCCCTCCCTTCTGGACCCCTTCCCATCTGGCTCAGGTTCCCACTTCCCAAGCCAGCTCCATACTGCAGGGACAGCTTCGTCACCCGCTCAGGCTGACTCCTCACAGGGCCACCCTCCTCAACCCTTCAGGCTGACTCCCCCCCCAGGAACACACTTGTCACCCCCTCAGGCTGACCCCACAGGGGTACCCTCTCTGCACCCTCAGGCTGACCTCACAGAAACACCCTCATCAGCTCCTAAGGCTGACTTCCATCAGGGACACCTAGTCACGCCCTCAGGCTGACCCCACAGGGGCATCTTGGTCAACCTCGCAGGCTGGCTCCCTACAGGGACACCCTCCTCAGACTGTGGGCCACCCTGAAGTCTGCAGAGGGCAGGGTGAAGGGCTCAACCTGTTTTTCAATGTGACCCTCAGTGCACTTCTTAGGGCTCTCAGAAGACCTTGCTTGCTTCTGCTCCTTTCAGAAAACTTCCTTTCGGCTCTTTTGCAGCTCGACACCCCTGCCCCCAACCCAGGGACCCTTGCCTAGTGATTAATTTTCTTTAATGAGACCAGGTCTCTCATATACCTGTTAATTTGAGGTACCGTTTGTAGAATGGTTTATCAAAAATGAAAATAGAGTAATTCTCAGAGCATTCTAGATACACCTACTTAGCTTTCACCTCTTTAAAACTCTGACTGCTCTGTAACCAGTTACAGTTTCCTTGCCCTCAAACATGTGTACCCGCATATAGAAAAAGACAAGCACAGAATGACCAGTAAATAGAAACACGGGGCAGAGGGCAGCTGCTTGCATGAGTTTGGAACTTGTTAACTTGTGCTCTGGGAGTCCTCACATAGCAGTGAATCCTGAAAGGCAGAGCTGGGCCCCTGCTCTGCTGCAGGGCTGGGGAGAATGCAGTGAGCGTCCGTGGCTGTGTAGCGCCTTGGGGTGCTCACTGGCAAAAGTCTGAAAGCCTGCACAAGTCTACTGCCCGGAAGTGCTGCCGTCCCTCGGGGCTTGAGATGGAAGAGCTTGAACACACGGTTCAGAGTTTAACAGCCTAAAACACGATCACGGAAAAGGCTGCTGATAGAGAAGTGTCAAACGCGTACAACTCCCCCTTCCTGTCTTGCTCCTTTCTGCTTGATGAAGGGAATGATACCCCAGTTTGGCTGTGTTGCTGTATGTGGCCCCCAGCCTGGCCGGCTTGTGCTCTATTCACCCTCTGTGGATGTTCTCTTGTGCAGAACACATACACCAATGCAGACAAGTTGCTAGAAGCAGCAGAGCAGCTGGCACAGACTGGGGAGTGTGACCCGGAAGAGATCTATCAGGCTGCCCATCAGCTCGAAGACCGGATACAAGATTTCGTCCGGCGTGTGGAGCAGCGGAAGATTTTGCTGGACATGTCGGTGTCCTTCCACACCCACGTAAAGGAGGTAAGTCATCTGCACGACAGAACACACTCTGTGCTGGAAAGGGGCTCGGAACTCCTGGGCAGGAATCTGAATTTGGGTCATAAAGTGAGAAAATGGGCTAGCAGTGGCCAGTGGTGACAGTCTACTCGTCAGTACCGAGTGTGTCACTGAACAGGACGTTGCACTGGCCTCTCGTGCTGGCCTTGGTCACTGGACAGGTGTATACAGACATTTGCTGAAGGGGTGAGGTAAGGGTGCCGAGGAGAGGTGTGGATATGGAGGTGAGCAGGTGAAACAGGAAACTGAATGAGATCCTTGCAGAGAGAGTCCTTGTCCATCTTAGCACCAGGAGAGGTCCCAGCCATTGTGGTCATAGCGGTCGGTTTCCTGTCTGTTTGTTAGCCTGTCATGTGGCTTAATTTGTGGTTGCCTTTGATTTTATCAAAGCCTGTGATGCTCTCATGCATGGGTTAACTTGGGTGTTATGGAATGCTGGATTTGGATGCAGCAGGGAGTAGAGACTAAGAGAAGCCACTGCGGTCCTTATCATGTTAATGCCCCTGTGATAGCTGTGCTCCTGCTGATGGGTTTAGTAAAAGAGCCAGTGATAAAAGATAATGTGGTATTTGGTCTGTGAAAAATAGTACTAATCACCCCTTGCATACGTATGTTGTTCATATCTAATTGGATTCAAGAAAAGTGTTACATAGCTAGTGAGGAGAAAAGAGGAATTACAATAAAAGGGAAAGTTTTCAGAAAAAAATAAAGTTTTACTAATTGAATGAGTGTGTGAATTTCGGTCTCATTTCTGCCTTTGACAGTGCTCAGGAAAATAATTCTTTACTTCACAAAGGATCTATGTTGTTGTTAGGTGCTGTCGCGTCATCTCTGACTCAAAGCAACCCTATGTGCAGCAGAACAAAACCCTGCCTGGTGTCCTGTGCCAGCCTCATGATCCTTGATATACCTGATCCCATCATTGCAGCCACTGTGTCAGTCCATCTCTTTCAGGGCCTTCCCCTTTTC